AAACACACCTATTTACTCAAGACTTAATATCTGTTGTGCTATTTTACACAACCCAAGGAGACTTCTAATCAATATGAAACAACTTATGTGGTTATCATCATGACAGCCTCCTATAGAACTGAAAAAAGTCAATGAGTTTTCCATCATCAGGATTTCATGAAGTCACATGATTCCATAACCAGACAGTTATTATGAAGATGGCATCCCTCATCTTACTGAGAGTTGTTCATGTACTCCGCAGCAGTTAGTGAAACTGTGCTGAGACTGTACCTGTTTAGACACTTATGTGACCCAAGTATAAGCCATTGCTATGAATCAGTGACACATACAGCTGCTGTTCACCAAAACTAGTTCCTAACCAATGAATTATGTACAATCAACAAAAAATAGAAATATTTACCATTTCCTTACATTCAGCTAACAGCTCAAAGGAGCAATAAATTAAAAAATTCTAGCAATAATATCCATGTTTGAAATATGATTCTAAGAGTAATATTGTTTGGATTTTTACCAAACATAAAATATTGTCTTCTAAAATTGCTTTAGTGTATTTATAAAAACACTTGTGGGAAAACCAGAGCATTCGGCCCTTTCTAACCAAGTTCTTTCCTTCACATGCTCTTTCTTTGTTTCTGTCTTTCAATGCCTCTTCCAGTTTCTGCCACAACTCTTGGCTTACCCATCTCACCTCTTTTCCCTACAATTTTCCTTCAAAACTAGCCTTACTTTGCTTTTTATTGATTTTATTCCTTGTAATCTTACACGTCACCCATGATTCAGTGACTAAGTCATGGCTACCTTATATACTCAATATATGAAACATAGACTTATGTACTCAATACAAAACACATTATTCAGGTAACATTTTTATCCTAAGCTTTAGACATGAACATCAGATTGGCCAGTTGCCCTGGTCGCTTGAAGTCACAGGAACCTCACTGTCTACAGAAGTGCCACTGAGTTCATCATCATTCAGTAGGTAGTAAGTGCCTGTGGAGTGGCTACATTCAGCCTAGATATGGATTAGGCTTCCCATGTACAATTAACAAACTCAGGTTCCCTGGTTATTCCGTGGCTGCATTCTCTGCATCCGGGAGTGGAACAGTTTCCTTGCTGTCTTTACGTCCCACTCCTCATTACAACTCAATCAGTCATCTCCTCATATTTCACAGCCCTTGCACCTGTTTCTCTGTTCCTCATTTCTTCATATTTCACAGGCTTAGAATAAGGTGCCTTTATTTCTGACTTGCAGTGATCCTCTAAGATGTTTTGTGTCTATTCAGTTTAGAAACATTCAATGGCTCTCAACTGACTTTAAAACAAAATTCAAACTTAACATGGTACTAAAAGATCTGAATTATAATTGCTCATCTTCACATCAGTGCCATTGAAGACAATAATAGAAATAATAACAGAGCAGTAGACATGGAATCCAGAAAGCAAGTGGAGTAGTTCTCTTCAGAAGACGCAATGGGTCTCAAGACCAGAGGAAGAACCTTAGCCAGAAACAGTACAACAAGTTTAGGATATCTAAACCCGATGGAGACTTAGAAAAGAAGAGGTTTATCTTTAGAACCTGGAGGGAAGCTCACCATTTTGGCTATAGGGCTGGCCAGTGAGCTCCTGGGAGCTCCTCTCTCTGCCCTCCCAGAGCTGGGTATGTTCATGTGTGCTTGTGCATATGGAGGTAAGAGGCCAATTTTGTGTGTTGTTTCTCTAGTGCTGACCATCTTTTATTGAGACAGGTTTTCTTATTGGCCTGGATCTCACCAAGTAGCCTGGGCTAGCCTGCCAGAGAGCCCAGGATTCACCTATCTCCATATCCCCAGCACTGAGATTACAAGCCCACTCCACTGCCCTAAGCTTCGTTAAATTGTGTATTCTGGAATGAACTTGGATCCTCTGGGTACACACACCCATGTACCATGGTGAAGGACACACGTAGAGGCCAAAGGTAGATGCTGGCATCTTCCTTTACCATTCTTCACATGATTTTTTTGAGGCAAAATCCTTTTCTGAAACTGGAGCTCACTAATCTGCTAGACTGATTTACCAGTGTGGTGCCCAAATCCTCTTGCTTCTCCCCCTCAGTGTTGAGATCACAGGAGCACACCACCATTCCCAGCTTTTTATCATGTGCCGAGGCCCTAAACATGGATACTGGTTTTTCTATAGCCACACTTCACCACTAAGCCATCTTCCCTGACCCCTGTCCTTTTTTTATTCTGCAACAATTGGCTTCTTTTTTTTCAAACATTTATTTATTTATTTATTTATTTATTTATTTATTTATTTATTTATTTATGTATTTATTATGTATACAATATTCTGTCTGTGTGTATGTCTGCAGGCCAGAAGAGGGCACCAGACCTCATTACAGATGGTTGTGAGCCACCATGTGGTTGCTGGGAATTGAACTCAGGACCTTTAGAAGAGCAGGCAGTGCTCTTAACCACTGAGCCATCTCTCCAGCCCCCAACAATTGGCTTCTTAAAATGGTTCTTGTTATTAATTTTTTTCAAAACTTCTTGAATTCTGTGACTGTAGAAAAATTATTTATCTGAATTATCTACTAGCCATTGCGATAGTATCATCACATAACTCCACAAAACATTTACTTCCTGTTTGTCTAGGGAACATATCTCTATCCGCTTCTGAACATTTAAATAGTCAACTTAGATCTCCAAATCTTTGAAGTTTAGCAGTAGTTCTCAACCTTCCTGAGCCTTTAATACAGCTCCTCATGTTGTGGTGACCCAACTATAAAATTATTACTTTCTAACTTTAATTTTGCTACTGTTATGAATCATAATGTAAATATATGATGTGCAGGTTATGTGTGTGTGACCCCTGTGTAACACCAATAATGTAGAGGAGAAAGTGAGCACACTATGGAAACACTGATCAACAAAGAGCCATTAGGGTGAGACTAGAGGGGAAAGGAAGAATATGTCTGAAAGATTGGCGATCCCCTGACTCAGCTTAGTACTGCTATAGTATGTGGTTAACATCAATGGAAAACTGTGGCAACTCAATCCAATCAAAGCTATCCTGGTAGGTTGAATGACAATAGCCTCCATAGGTGCAAATATCATCCCTACTTGGTGGAACTGTTTGGGAAGGATTAAGAGTGATCTTGTTGGAGGAAGTGTATCACTAGATTCATTCAAAAGCCCATGCCATCCCCAAATAATTCTCTGTTTCTGCCTTATGCTGGTGGATAGGGGATTAAACTCTCAGCTACTGCCTCAGTGTCATGCCTGCCTGCCTGCTGCCATGCTTCCTGTCATGATGGTCAAGAGCTCACCCTTCAAAATTATAACCATCAAATAAACTCTTTCCTCTATACACATTGCCTTGGTCATGGTGTCTTACTATGGCAAAAGAACGTAACTAAGGCAATCGCTAAGGCTCTGGACCCTTTAGGAATGGAAAATTGAGTCACTGAACAGATAAAGAACCATAGCCAGGTGATAAGCTTATAGTGTAATTTATGATCTTGCGACCAGTAACAATGAGGACAACTCTTGAGAAGTTGTAGTCTTCTTTGTTATGTCTTTATTTTGTTATGAATGTCTTATGGAGGGTTATATGTTACCTCCCCCTTCCTCTGTATCTTTCATTTTATAACAGATTTGCTAACTTTATACCCTCATATTTAAATACTGTTTACTTTACATAAGTAGTGATTAAATTATTAGAAAATGAGGAGCAAAACAAACACCCGCCAAGGAACTCTGGGGAAATGATGGATATATTTCCAGTTGTTCATGGATGAATAAGGACAAAGTAAAACCTCCTTATTGTCTTTACGTACAGATTAAATATCCCTTATGCATACTGGTGCCAAACTGACAAGAAATAAGCTTGTGATGGCAAAAATGTATGTGTCAATTTAACTGGATCTCAGTGCATATATATATATATATATATGTATATATATATATAGCAAGCCTTATGTAACATGTTTCTATGAAAGATATTTTGCATAAGATTAGCATTTGAGGTGCAGACTGAAACCACAGATCATCCCTCAACACCCATGTGGTTATCACCTGACCTTCTCTGGACAGAAGGAATTCTGCCAGCACAGAACTAGCCTGAATCTCCAGTATGCAAGTCAACCTTTATTGAATTTTGAACTCACCAAGCTTCCACAATTACAGGAATGAACCCCTTAAAATAAACCTCTGATAGACAGGTAGGCAGGTAGGTAGTTGCATAAATAAATACATACGTAGGTGGGTGGATATATCTAAGAAAGTAGATAGAGATGTGTATATATAAAGAAAGATATACATATATACTCTGGTATCTACTAGGGCCTGGTTCCAGGATCTCTGACGTTTGTTTATCCAACCATGCAGGTACTCAAGTCCGACAGTATCTGAATGTGCTCTAGGCACACCCTCCTGTATACATCATATCACCTCTAGATTTCATATATTAGGTTAATACACATACCATGTAAATTGCTGTTACACTGTAGAAAAAGTTCACATGTATTCAATACCAATTGCTTTTTCCAAATACTTCCAATTTACATTTAAATCTTATCTTTCTTTAATTCACAATAATTTACTCAAGTATTAAGGTTACCACTTAAAATTCTTATCATTTTCTTTGCCATTTTATAGGTGATGCAAATACATTTTCTGAATTGACTAGAAACAAGAAATTTGATACTATGAAATATTCCTCAAATCTTTAGATGGAAAGATAATTGTTCTGTAAAGGGCAGTGAAAATTTTACTGAATGCATGTTTTCCACGTGAGAAATTACTGGCTTTTGGAAGCCCACTACCTCCCAGTACCCAGCTCAGCCACACTTCTCTTTCAAGGTAATGTTTTTGTTAGATAAGTCATGAATATTCATGTGGTAACATGTTGTCTATCATATGTGCACATAAAATCTATGTGATGAGACAGATCATTTGATCACCATCCAAACATTCCCCATATATTTCAAGTTAAAATCTCCCGTCTCCCGGGCCACTTACACCATACTTTCTGGTTCTGCTGCACATGCACCCACGGCTTTTGTGACATTCACAAGAAGTGCTTGGTTTATTCCAACCAGGAGGTTCACAAGAGGTTGGATGCCACCACACCTCCGGACGATGACCCGGTTTTCATATTCTTGACAACATTCTCCCAAGGCCCCAACCACATTCACGAGGACTTCTTCAGGCTGATCAGTTAAAAGTCCCACCAGTGTCTCAATGGCCTTGTATTCTCGAAACCTTAAGTTCGGAGAAAAAAGGTTATTTGTAGTCCAAAGTCAGCAGGAAAGGTACTCAGAAAAATAACAGTCATTCCAGATAATTATATTAATTTAGCCATGCATTTTCACTACTTTATTTTCAATGCTCATTTGATCCATATAACAAACAGTAGACCGCATTTAACCTCCACAATTCAAAGGCTGATCCAAAACTTGTTAAGCAGTAAGGCTCATGGCCACACCCAAACACTTGCTGTCTACCCCTGTTCTGGATCATGACATTGGATAGCCTCTGGGACAGCTATGGTCACATATGAATCCATTCTAAGATTTTTCCTCTCATAGAGATTGGGTTACATGAACAATTCATATTAAAAATGTATTAAAAATGAATTACATTATGTATTTCCTTTTTGCCATATACATAGCATTGTTGTATATCAAAATGAGCAGTAGAGCTACTACAACTCAGATTTTAAAAGTGATTTGTTCTGATCTGTGGAAACCAGAAATTGCAAACCACCAAATAGATGTGATCATCTCATTAGATGCAGAAAAGGCCAACATCCCTTCATTATAAAAGTCCTAGAAGATCTAGGACTCCAAAGGACATATCTAAACATGAACAAACAATGTACAATGACAGCCAACAGCATGTTAAACAGAGAAAATCTCAAAACGCTTCCACTATGATCAGGAACAGGAAAAGATGTCCACTGGGTTCTAAAAGAGGAAGTCATGATGAAATGAACTGTACTCTAAGTTTCAATCTTTATCCACAGATTAATGCATCTCTCAACCTTAATCAGAAAAGCTTCTTTTGCAGTACATGCAGGTCAATGAGCACACAGTAAGTCACTGTGGAGTATTCAGCTCTACATCATCTCCCCCTCAAGTCTCATGCATCTTCATAGAAGAGGGGCCAGAAATACTGTAAGAACCAGGAAATGTCTATTGTCAAATGGTATTTGCTGGACATAGCAATACAGCTATATATATATGAACTCCCATAGCCTGGGACTTCATTTATAAGATTGTCCAAAATACCATCAAGGACAGGGGAGGGGCTCATAAAGTCCTAACCCAATGTGAGGAGCTACTGGGAGAGCAAGAGTCAATTCTCTTCAGGTATGTGGCTCTGAGAAGCTATGCATATTCAGTATATGGTCTTATACCCATGCACACACAGGCATCACTAACAGATTCTGTGGGCATTAAAAAAAATCAGAGCACATGAAGTTGGGAGGAGGAAGAGGACAAGGGAAAAAATGAAGAGGTAAGAATGGGGATGAGGGCTGGAGAGATGGCTCAGAGGTTAAGAGCATTGCCTGCTCTTCCAAAGGTCCTGAGTTCAATTCCCAGCAACCACATGGTGGCTCACAACCATCTGTAATGGGGTCTGGTGCCCTCTTCTGGCCTGCAGACATACACACAGACATAATATTGTATATATAATAAATAAATAAATATTTAAAAAAAAGAATGGGGATGAATTATTTGATCTAAACATTATATACACATATAAATATCAAATAAAACATTTTAACTGATCTTCTCAGGTGACTTCAGTATAAATCACTAGGAAGTTTTAGTATCTGTCTTCATGAAATTTTACTTTGATCTTTTTCAGTATGTATTTAAATCAAATGAAGCATATATAAAATAACATATTTGAGAATTACTGATTTCTATATAGAACATTCTTTCTCCTTTCTAGTAATTCATCATTGTTTATGTATCAAAATATGGATGAATTTTTATTGCTACCATTAATAAACTTTGTATTAATGGGAGTTACTTTTAGTCTGCTAATAATTCTATCATATACTATTAAGCAAGTTGATTTTTCTGTTACAACATGCAAATTTATTAAAGAAAACACCAAATAGAGAAAAGGTTTCCTTAGGGTATTCATGGGGACTATGTATAAATAGACACAGAAAAGTTTAAAAATCAAAATAAATAAAATTGATAAGTATTCTGTAATTTGTTTTTAAAAATGTAGAAATATAAGGGCCAAGTATTTAACTCAATGGTGAAATGCTTGCTTACCAAGCACAAGGCCTTGGGTTTGATTCCCAACACCCCAAACCCTTACAAATAATTAAAATAAAATGAAATAAAATCATAATTGAAAGTAACTACTCTTTAAGAGTACTTAGTTGCCATCAGCTGACTCATTTACCTTTTAAAAAATGGAAAATAAGGGAGGAAAGATGGCTCTGCAGTGAGTTAGAAACCATAGTTTGGATACAAGCATGCACTAGGGAATGGGGCGAGTAGTGCCCACCAGCAGCCATAGCTCCAATAGGGATTGTTGGTTTCCAGTCCAGTTGATAAGAAAAATCCCAAGCACAGGCTCAGGGAAAGGGCCTGTCTCAGAGGAATAGATGAGGGTGACAGACGAAGACATCCAACTCCCTTCTTGTCTCAGATGTATTCACTTGCACACATATATGCTCATGCATTCACAACGACACATTTACACAGAAAGATCATGCCACTCCCTGATCCACATAAAATTTCTGAGCAGAAGAATGGGGAAGGGTCTTTTATTCATAATGCCTTTGCATTCTACCCCTTAACTCAGAATGCATATTATCAATTACAGTCAGAGCCAATTCTTTATTAAGGCACCATTTGATTACATTTTATTATAGCGTATTATAGAATCTTAAATGCCTTACTTACTTAATCACATTCTCTTTGCTGATGGAGCATTTCCAGATTGCCCCAGTGACAGCGGCTAATCGTTCTTTATTATCTGTGTTATTGAGTAGACTGGCCAAGGGTTTAAGTCCTCCATGCAGCCTAACAAGGTCCCGGGTTTCCTCATCTTCAGCACACTGCACAAAAAGTCAAACCAGAGGCTGTCAGAGATAAGACATCTCAAGCATTCAGTGATGGTCAAAGAGGTTCATCTGTGGGAGTTCTCCAATACAAGTTATGTCTGTTACATAACAATGTGCATCAGAGTTGCAGGGAACTCACTGACATTTCCAAGGATCTTGCATCCTGAGCAAAGAATTAGGCCTGGGACACATGAATAGTAGAAGCGAACCAAGAAAGGTCAGGAGCTCAAATGGCAACAGAGAATCATGACTTTACAGCCACTTTACCTGGGATTAACCTTCTCTTGTAATTTCAACTGTGGTTCAGTAGTGATCTCCCCACACACACACATACACATACACACTATGAGTTTAACTATACTCTCAAAATTCATAAACTGAAGATCTAACTCCCCGTGCCTCAGAATATGGCTGTGTGTGGGAATGAGGTTTAAAATGGAAGTTCAGGTGAGATGAAATCATTGTGATGAGCACCTAAAAGATGGTTGTCCTTTAAGAGCTATTACAGTACAGACACAGATATGGCATGAAGACACAGGACAAGACAGTCAGCTGCAAGCCATGGACAGAGGTCTCTGAAGAAACTATCCTGTGAACACCTTAACCACACACTTCCAGACTCCAGAAAACAAAATTCTTTTGAAGCCACATGGTTTGTGGTTAGAACCCTTAGAAAAAAGAACAGAACATAATCCCTAAAAGAACTGAATCCTGTCTCTGACTGCATTTGCAGTTGCCCTCACTATGCTCACCTACATGGCCTTCCTTTGGGACCACCTTGAGCAGAGAGAGGCTGGCATGACCATAACCAGCCAAACATTCATTTTTAAGGTCATCCCACCCCTGATCATTCTAATAGTATACTAGGAGACAACCCACACAGAATTAATGGAAATTGAAATAAGTAAACTCAAAACAAAAACATGTATATACATGATGTCCACACACTGAGAGCATCCATGTATATCCATTGACATTTATTATCTGATTTTGGTAGAAGAAAATTTCCCCAAAATTTTGAAAAGAATTGTATAAAGCATCATAGGGTCATTATATATAAATGAGCTATTTTACTTTAAGTAAATTATTTAGGAGAAAGTGGGAAAGATATGTATATCTTATTGAATTTAAATAATCAGACTATGATGTATGTTTGAGTACATGTCATCATCACGGTAGCTTATAGTCGTTCTCATCTCTATAAGCACATGAAGACCCCTGGGATACTGGCTAAATTGCAGCTTCCCAGGTGTACCTTAAGATTTAGCTCTGAAATCTATACTCTGCCCTGTGCTATATGTTTTTCATGCTGTGGCACTAGCTTGAGAGGAGGCTGGGCACCCTTTAGGAGGCAGGATCAGCTGGAAGAAATAAGTCACTGCCAGTATTTGGGAAGTGTGCTAATCCTGCCCACTTCCTTTCTTCTCTCCTCTCTCTCTTCTCTGTCTCTTCTCTCTCTCTTCTCCCTCTCTCTCTGTTTTTTTTTTTTCTCTCTCTCTCTCTCTGCTTGCTGGCAGTGTTGAAGAGAACAGCCTCCACCACTCTCCCTGCCACTGAACTGGCTCTACAATGATTACTTTACAGTGTCTGAAACCACAAGCCCAAATCACCCCTTCCTTTCTTTTTTCTGTCAGATATTTGAGACACAGTGTACAAATCACACAGCTCCCCAGAGGAAGAGACTATGAGTTTAGAACCAGTGCCTTTAACTAGAAGAGCAAGGAAGGCTTCTGGAGAGCTGGTCCCACTGAGTAGATGGAGAAGCAGTGCCTTTAACTAGAAGAACAAGGAAGGCTTCTGGAGAGCAGCCCACCTGGTAGATGGCCATGGCACAATGCTCCTGCAGCTGCTCATTCTCACTATTCAGGTTCTTCACGAGGTTTTCAATGATCCTCTCTGCTTTGATGGCAGCTCGGTAGTTTTCCTAGAAGTATAAAAATATAAATATTTATGTGTATGTAATGTGACCATAATTTACATTTATGAGTGACTACGCTGAACAAATTGATCAGACACCAAATCCCGAGCTTTCCCATATCTGTCCAATGACAGAATTCTCCAACACTGAAAATAAATGCCACAAGTTCTGTACTATTTAGTTAGTGTACTATTAGTTGATTTCCTTTCTCTTAAAAAAAATAACAGCTGACAGTTAGGGAGGAGTATCCTTAACTTTCATGTCAAAATTTAGGTTGTTTTCTTAACCAAAGAAAGAAAAAGTAGGTTGGTATGAGGGCTTACACAAGCATGAGGACAGAGCTTCAATCACTAATGCCCAATTAAAGGCCAGGAGGGCACAGATGTCTGCCTGCAATTGCAGCACTCAGGAGACAGGATTCCCAGGGCAAGTTAGCTGGTTAGACAAGTCAAACAGGTGAGCTTCGGGATTCAGTAAGAAACACTTCCTCAGAAAACAGAGTGGAAAGCAGTCCAGTAACACTTCAGACTCTGGCCTATTGTACACACACAAGCATGTGCACCTACATACATGTTTCCACACAACTGCAAGCACACATGTACACACTCCCAACCCTGTGTTCATACATGGAAAGCAAGCAAGGAAGAAAAGGATGACAGGAAGAGGGCAAACAGATAAGGCAGAATGGCTTGGGTACCTCTGATGCGCATTCTTGCAAGGTCCCCACCACTGGAATGAGCATGTCTTCATGAGAAGTCTTCAGTAGTCGAGCCAACAAGGGGATGCCCCCAGCTTTACGAATGGCTTCTTTGTTCGAGTGACTCTTACTGCAGCTCCAGAGTGCGAGGGCCCCACAGCGAGCCACTTCTACATCTCTGGTTTCGTACAGGCTTGGTTGAGTCGGTTCTGTTGAATTCTGTCCACAGTCCAACAGGGCAACCTGCACGAATAGATGTATATAACACACACAGTCACCTTTTCTATTTTTTATTATTTGAGTGTGTTTAAATGTGTGTGTATGTACATGTGTGCACACATATGGATATGTACATACCAGCACACACATGTGCAGGTCAATGGACAACTTGTAGGAACCAGTTCTTTGCTTCCATAATGTGGAGCTCAGGTTTATAGCTTTGGCAGCAAGTGCCTTGACTCACTGAGATATCCCACCAGACCAAACACAGAAGTTTTAAAAATAAAAGTGAATCTATCCTTCAGTAGCTACCAGGTTGCTACTAAGATTAACTGTCAAAAGTAAAACTATTTTAGATATGCTTAGATTAAACTACAGACAGTGGAAACAAAGAAAGAAAACATTTCATACCACTGTGCTCTGGATCTGGGGACTCATATTTTCTTCCTTTGAGAAAATACTCTCCAAGATATTATTTTCTTAGTAAAGCTCTAGTATTTATAATAGGATTATTTATAAATCAGGCATAGTGATGTAGACCTACTTATGATCTCAGCATTCAGGAGTCAGATGCAGGACTATGAATATAAGACAAATCTGGGTTAATAAGTTTGAGGCTGGCCTAGACTGTAGGGCAAAACCCCTTTACACGCAAAAAACTAATAATACTATTACAACCCATATTATCACTGCCAGTATTTTAGAAACCCAAGCTCTCCAAAGCCAGTAAGACTGAAAAGCAAGTCAGATGGTTTATCACTCTTAATACCATGGGGGAGGGCACAGCTTTGCATGTATGTTAATGGAACCCATTAAACTAAATTGCCAGTGTCCTCCTTTTTTCTTTGTAATGACCAAAGTCACCAAAGCCATTAAGGGGAAACAATTTACAAAAGGAACACAGCAGTAGGTCAGGATGCCCTGTGGAAAAATTAAAGCCAGGCTTCCCCAGATGAGGGTACCTGTCATTCTTTAGGCTCACAGCTTTTATCTGTTAAGGTAGAAATCACTGTTTACACATCCATTCTTTCTTCTTCCGCTGTTGGCCAAACCTCATGATTATTCACCACGCAGTCACAATCACCCAGACCAAATTTAGAACAGGATACCCACTCCTAAGCAGGGTCTCAATCTCAATTCAAAATTCGTCGTTTATTTAGCTAGTTCTCAAAAAGCAATGGAGTACAGGTAGGGGAAGGCAAGGGATATGGCCATTGCTTTCAGCTGTGACATACAAGAAGGGAACCACACACAGAAAAAGAATTCTAAGACGGTGGTACAAGGCAGAGAGCCCTGCAATGTCTTGTCTGTAGTAGTTATTCTCATTATCCCTCTAAAGTCCAAACCACTTAGTTCCCCCTAACTCTTTGGATAAGGCCCTGCAGTGAGAAGCACACTCTTCGTCTTCATCTCACCACTTCAGCCATCTTGCCATGGATCTGGCCACATTAAACCAATAGCAACTTTGAAAACTTCCCTGTCAAAATCGGCCTCATCTTCCTGAAGTGTCCTTCCTGGCGTGTCTGTTTAGCAAACACCCTCCACAAGCCCTCAAGCATCATCTCCCTCTAGCCTTTCCTGACGGTCTCCCTTTTAAGACTGACTGCTCAACCCTCTTTTATTTCTCCACCATTCCCAAGACTGGCTGGCTTCAGCTAAACACCTAACATGCACACAGTGCTTTAGATACCTGTCTTCTCCTTATTTGATGCTTACCACTACTCAACTGTCGTATATTCCAAGTCAGACATGTGCATTTATTTCTGTTTGTACCCTGCACACACCACCACATTCTCAACCCACTCACTCCAACTCAGTCATCCAGTACTGACCAAATTTCTATCCCTAATTTGGCTCCTATTTGAAATCACATTAAAATGAGAGTCATTATCTTATTGGATTCGTGCCACTGGATAAATACTAGGTTCCCAAATGTGATGGGAGACTCAAAAGCCCATATTTTGTATTTATTTTTTCATTCTTATAAGTGATAAAAGTCATTTCAATGAAAAGCTATACCATGTATTTTGAACTCAGTAATTACTGCATTTCTTCGAACATTTAAATATGAAAAAAATGTGTGTGTGTTTGATGTGTGTATAGTGTGTTTGAGTATGTATACATGTGGGTTTGTGTGTGTGCTCATCTGTAAGTAAAAGCATGGGTATGACATATGCATTTGTGGAGGTCAGAGGACAAGGTCAGAGACAGACACCTCCTGTGTCAGTCCTCACTTCCATCTTATTCGCGATAAGGTTTCTTGTTTACTGCAGTGTATGCCATCTAGCTGGTCTGAAAGCTTTTGGGGATTCTCCTCTCTCCACATTCAATCTCACCATGGGAATACTAGGATTATAGACGTACACTGCCATGTCCAACTTTACGTAGGTGCTGAGAACTGAATTCTGGTACTCAGAGTTGTACATCATGGCCCTGAGCAGTTAGAACATCCTTAATTATGATAAAAAATTAACAAGGGAGAGCTGAAAGAACTGTACAAAAATTACACAGCTAACATCCACAGATCCCAAACCTCTGTCTCTGTCAATGCTCAAGCCATATGTTTACCTACCTTCACAGTCTTAAAACTATCTCACTTCTGAAGCAATTATACTTTATAGTACTCCATTGATTACAAGTGAAAACACTGAGCCTCTTTTTAGTAGATATCTGAACACACTTCACTTCTCACTTTATATTTTTGAATTTTGGACAAGAGATTCAGCTCAGTAGGAAAGCATTTGTATGAGGTCCTAATATTAAACGTGAGAACCATAAAATAAAACACACACATATTGAAATAGGAATCATCCAACAGATATGCACCAACCTTTATGTGTAGTTTATATGGTACAGCTCCAAATGGTGTGGAAGATGGTAAGATGGGTAAGCCACATCCTTGTTAAAGTGTAGCAGTAGACATGTCCAGTAAAACAAAAGCCAGGGTAGACACAGCACCAGCATTTCTATACTACATTTACTTTTAAAGCTTTTAATTATATTTAATTTCTTCTCCTTTCTCTCTCTCCTCTCCTCTCTCTCTCCTCTCTCTCTCTCTCTCTCTCTCTCTCTCTCTCTCTCTCTCTCTCTCTCTCTCTGTATACACTCAGGTCAGAGGACGATATGTGAGAGTTCATGCATCCCTTTCATCGTATGGGTTCCAGGATTAAACCCAGGTTTTCAGGTTGATGACAGGCAGGCACTCCTATCCACTTAGCTATCACTCTTTCCCAATGTTTATTTTTCTAAAGTCTTTGCTGACAAGATAAGAGTTTAAGCCTTTTCTTTCAATGGTAGTTACTGAAATAATCATTTTTCACAATGATTAAAGTAAGTCTTATATGCAGAAGACAAACTGACAAATCCAAGAGGAAATTCATGTTTTTTCTTTGTTTCTACAGCCTTCCTCTGAAAACTCAGCAGTCACTCAGAGATACCTCTGTGACCAGCTCTTTGCGTGTATTTCTAATTGTATGTATAGATTTATATGTGGTGAACAGTTCTTTAAAATTTGATATCAATTTATTTGATCCTGTTCTGATTTATATAATATTAATTAACATATAGCTTCTCCTTTTGTTCTTGCTAATTTTCCAAAACACAATGCTGTTGCTGAATACAGGTGCTTTTCAGAAGCATATAAACAACTTTCACTGGATAAAAACTATACATACCCAGGCTGCTTTCAGTTGTTTCTAACAAACAATGCAGTTTGACTGTCATGGAGGAAAGTCCTAATGTGAGTCACCATATCAGAAGCTGGGGCTACCAAACCTATCTCCTACCACGAGCCTTGTCACTTCTTCCTCTTCTCCTCCCTTGTCCTCTGCCCTCTTTTCTCCCCACCCCACTTCAACAGATGCCACATCTCTCAATCACCCTAAAAATTAAGCCCAGGGCCTCACAGAGAGTAGGCATCTCTCTGTCACTGAGCTACAGTATTACCTTGGTAGTTCCACCTCCTTATTATCTCAGTGGATCCTGTTAGATGACAATATTTTTTAAATTCTCTATTTGAAAATCAAGGCTGAACATTCTTTTATGGCTCTTGCTAATGTAAATACGTGGACATCGTTCTTAAAGACATGTGCCAAAAAAATAAAAAGGACTCTCAGGTCACACATAATGGTGTCCAGAGCATAAGATAGGGTTGTGTAGGTGTCTGTTAGAATCTGAGGATGGTAATGGTGGTACTCACCAGCTTGGTTATGCCTCCATGCTGTCTTACTGCCCGTCGGGCTCTCTTGAACTTGGCCACATTTGCAATTGTCTCAGCTGCCAAACATTTGAGACTCTTGTGTGGAGAATCCAGTATATTAACCATAATTGGTAAGCCCCCAAGGTCAACAATATTACGTCTGATTTGAGGATTATGACTGATTTCCTTCAGAATTTTTAATGAACCAATCTATGTGGGGGAAAGAAAGTGACAGATGAACGAGGCTTTAATATATACCCAAGTACTTCTTTTTAAAAAGTCTAAGCTAACCTAAAAGTCTTCCTCAATGAAGGATTTTAAGAAAAACTTTCCATCCCTGGAGGTTACACACATCCTCTCCATTTTCCTTTATTTACATAAACAGACATTTCTCCTCTCAGAAACACAAGTAGATAGTAGAAATATAAAGAAGAAAATGAGAACAAGAAAACACAGTTACAGATCATCAACAATCATAGTACACCACAAATGAAAGCAAAAGATGTGCTAGCCATCCAGAGCTTCCAAGAGAGCTGTGAAGGACCTAGAGCTCTCAGCCATCATGAAAGTCCTTACCTTGCATTTGACTTCATCTGTATCAAGTAGATTTATTAAGACTTCAAGTCCTCCAACATCTCTAATTGCCAGCTGACAGGTCTCTTGAGCTAAGTTGAAATCCCTCATGGAACACAAAGCAATCACTGTTGCTGTCTGATTTCCCCCCTAGGAAGATGCAACACCATGTAATAGTTAAATAAAGCCACATTCCCATGCAGACAAATCCATAAGCTAGGAAATGTGTCTCCCCAACCACAGCACATAAAATTTTTAAAGGTTCTCTGAGTGGGTTATAATTTGTTAAATGAATTATGGTGAGCCAAAGTATGGGAATGCCTCACAGAGCATCGTAAAATGTTACTCCAGTTAAGCGCCAACATTTACAGTGGGGCTCCTTTAAACAGCTATGACACTGTGTGAGAGCAGGCATTAAAGAGAGTCCATGGGGCACATCTTAGAAGAGCGACTAGAGGATGGAAGTGTTATGTTGAGGTAGTAAATGCCCTCACCCCAGTTCTGGATTAGTGCACTGGGAAACACAATCTACATCTGAACATTTCTCTTACAAAGATTGAGAAATGCATGCTTTTGGTATTTGTCCAGCTTTCGGACACATAATTCTTCAATCTTTATAATCTTCAAAGTGCTAAATGTCTTTTACATGCTACTAAGTTGGTTGATATCCTCTGTTTTGGGTCAGGATTCTGGCTGTCCTCAGGAGGATAAAGGTAACCCTAAGGTCTAGGGTTTTCATCTCTACCAATTAGCTTTGGGAAGAAAGCAAGCCTGGAGGTTAAGCTGGTCATAAAGGGCCAATAATTTCATCAGTCAGTCTCCATAAAAATCCCAAAGAATATGGTGTTCCTGGGAAGAAAGGAGTATGCACAGAAAGGGCCTAGAAACCCTTGCCCAATACAGCTCTTCATGGGCATCGGAACATAATAATTGTAATAAACCAGTGTGCTGACTAGTTTTTGTCAAGTTTATACAAACTAAGGTCATCTGGGAAGCAAAAACCTCAATTGAGAAAAGTACTTCTATCAGACTGGCCTATAGGCAAGTCTTCGGGGTGTTCTCGACTAATGATTGATGATGATTAATGTGAAAGGGCTCAGTGTGTGGCATCTTCCCTGGGTAAATAATCCTGGGTTGTATAAGGAAGCAGGTTGAGCAAGTCATAAACAAGCCAGTAAATAGTATTCTTCCATGGCCTCTAATTCAGTTTCTGCCTCCAGGTTCCTGCTTTAGGTTTCTGCCTTGACTTCCCATCATGGTGGACACTAAGCTGTAACAAACCCTTTCCTCCTAGAGATGCTTTTCATCATGGTAGTTATCACAGCAATAGAAAACCAACTAGAGCAACAAGTGAGCATGTTTTCATCAGACTTGATGGGAGTGTTGTGAGAATCCTGTTCATAACCAGTGAGAAGCAGGGATCATAGCTGGCCTTGTCATGGGCCTCAGAAGCCATCTGAGAAAATTCCATGTTGGAGAGCCTCCAATGAAGTCACTCAGTTTCAGAAGAGGCATCCATTGTTAAAGAGTTGCTTGCTCACCTGTGGGGGAAATACTCACACTCTTTGAAGTCACACAAGTCTTTTATGTTGACTTTCAGTGTGAACATAGAGGAAAAAAATTGTTTTTTCTTCATTTGTGTACATGGAACAGTCTAGAACAGGCACACAAAGGAGAGGGAAACTGTTGTAAATGGCAGTGAGGCCTCCTTGTTCAATCCCGCCCAGCTAGTGTACACCCACAATAACCACACAGAGATTGTATTAATTAAACACTGCCTGGCCTATTAGTTTTAGCCTCTTATTGGCTAACTCTCACATCTTGAATCAACCCATTTTTAATAATCTGCATATCACCACATGACTGTGGCTTACTGAGAGAGATTCAGCATGTCTGACCTGGCAGCTTTATGGCGGGCAGCTCTGCCTGCCTCTGCTTTCTTCCTCCCAGAATTCTGTTCTGTCTTCCCCACCTACCAGAGTTTGCCCTGATGGAGGTGGGTCTTGTATCTTATCTGTTGATTTCATTGGTTAATAATAAAGAAACTGCCTCGGCCCTCATAGGACAGAAAATTAGGTAGGCGGAGTAGACAGAGGAGAATGCTGGGAAAAAGAAGCTGAGTGAGTGAGTCGCCATGATGCTCCCACTCCAGACAGACGCAGGTTAAGATCCTCTCTGGTAAGCCAGCTCATGGGCTACACAGAATATTAGAAATGGGTTAGAACAATATGTAAGAGCTAGCCAATAAGAAGCTGGAACTAGCCGGGCCAGGCAGTGTTTGAAAGAATACAGTTTCCGTGTAATTATTTCGGGGCATAAGCTAGCCATGCGGGCGGCCGGGTGCCGGGGACGCAGCCCTGCCGCCACTCCTAATTCAACATTGCCCTATCAACTAGGCCAAGGCAGTCTCTTTATTTAACCAATGAAAGTAACCCATAGACAGAAGACACTCCTACACCAAAAAACCACATGGAATGCAGTAAAACAGCAGGACATAGATTAGTTGCATCTAGGGCTGTGTGGAATCAGAAATTGATTCTATAAGACCTGAGGTGTGCAGCACAAAGAAGGATCCAGACCTGCATGCCTGAGTGACTCAATGACTCAGCAGAGAAACATCAAGACTTGTCATAGGTGGAGGGCAGCGACAAACTGCCCTCCTTCAGAATTAAAAATATAACACCTGAGAAATTAGTGAGGCAATGAGGATCTTTCCTCCATGAGGGGTTTAATGCCAGTGTGGGGTGGATTAGTTAACATGAGTATAACCTCTCTCCATGGATGCCTTTCACCCCATGGGCACAGCAAGCAGGCCATTCCCAGATGCCAGTGCCTGATATTGGATGACTTCCTAGCTTCCAAAATGGTGAGAGATAAATGTCTTTAATAAATCCTGATATTGTGTCAAAGCTTCAGAAAGTAGATCAGATGTAGAAAATAGAGACTATAAATACTACAGATTCACATTAAAACATGTATTTATGATACATTTGTATTTTCTACTTATCCATATTGTAGCATATAAATATTAAAATTAACATTTAAAGATGCAATTTTATGTAGTGGAAAATACATAAAGGCTTCACAGAAATGGCAAACAGCAAGCTGTCTCCTTCAGGTCACACACATGCATGTACACAGTTCCTCAGTGTGAAGTTAAAACAATTTATTGCTTTTAATACAAGAAACTAAGAGGGTTTTATTTAAAGGTTTAATCAAAGGCTGAGGGGAAGAATGTTTAGATTTTTGCTTGTTTGTCCTAAGAAAATGCCCTGTGCTTCTAAAAAGTGTAGAGGTGGTGCTGTCCACATTTCCTCTCTTGAGGTAATCCAAACTACCCTTGTATGAAGAGGAGGTTTAGCATCACAAGAGCAGTTCAGCACCCACATGTAAAGTCTGTTGTTGTATAGTTTTGCTCTCTTGCTCCTGACTGGCAAGAGGAAGGTGGGCACCATTTACCCACAGCCGACTTTAAGGTGTGAAATGGTAAGTCCTCCCCTCCTTATTATCAGGTTATTAACTCCACTGTTTGAGGGCAGGATACTCTACTGCTTTCTGTTTCCCATCTAGAAAACAAGGGCAGAGAAGCAATCAGTAATCACAAAGAGGAGTGGGTATGAGTATCATCCAGTCCTTCTGCTGGTAAAGGAAGCAGAATAATACAAAAAAGGGTGAAGGCAGGAAAGGAAGGAATTCCTCGGACATGGCTGTGTTTTCATCATTAAAATGGCATCAGGATGTCCCAGGAGCAATCTGAACACTCCTAACAAGTTTCTCCTACTGGGTGTTTGGGAATTCAAACCAAGGACTGCAGGTCAAATAAATTTGGTCATGGCTGAGGAAGAGAAGGTGACATAGGAGAATATCTAGTCCCTTCCTCACCCCAGGATATCTCCAAGGATCCAGAATGCTCTGTAGGGACATTCTTGGTGCACATGATCCAGATTTTTCTGGATCTGTTTCTCTTTTGTTTGGTAGGGTTTTGGGTTTGTCTTTGGCTCAGTCTTTGTCCCGTCTAGGGCCGTCTCTACTCTTGAGTGCTATGCTACTCACACACTCGCAGCAGCTTATGTGGGTTTAAAATTCATTATAACAAGCACCCAAAAGGTGTGATCATACATTCTTCTGAATTATCTATTTCTAGACCAATGTCAGAATCAAAGAAAAGGTTCAAATTTATTGATATGAAGTTAGAGCCTTATAGAAAAAATTCTGTAAATCAACTTTTTCTGAAAATCTGGAAACATATTCATAGGTTTGAGGGATTTTTTTAGAACAGTTTTATATTAGGAAAAGTTAGTTTTTCCACATTTCAGGATTTCCTTCGACTCTTGTCACTGACCACACTCCCAAAAGGATTATAAATCTTTCAGAATGAATACCAGAAGATGGGAGCCAAAACATCTAACAGTCATTGCCATTTTCCTTTAAATACCAGATTTGTAAAGAATCCTGAGGGCTCCTTCTGCTTTGTCTAGACCCATAAATATCTAGCCAAGCAGAAGCTGCACACCTTTGTCTACCTTTACAATTAAATCTGCCGAGAACATAATTAGTTGCCAATACTTAATTTTCACATTTTATCACACACTTGCATCTGTAGAGTTTTAAAAGCTGGAGAAAACATAGAAAAATATATTTTACTAGCTTCTGAAGGGGATTCAGAAATGTATCCCATAAACTTTTCCATTTCTGAAATGAATACAATTCTTTTGCTGTTTGACTTCCGGCCCTGTGCCTCCTCACACGTCTCCAGCCTCTACCATCTGTAATTCATCTTTCTTCCTTCAGCCAGGAGGTGTTTGTCTACTGTTACATCAGCTTACAACATACAGAGCTAAAATAAATGCTTCCATCGCTCCTCTCCTCCTCTCTCCCCTCCTTAACCTCTTTGCTTTTCTTTACATAATTTTATTATGAATATTATATTTTTTTATTTGTCAGGGTGTGGATTGTCATGGACTACTCATACTAACCATAGACTCTAGCTACAATTTCTACCCATGTTTTGGTTGAACAAATTTAAATATCTACCCTGGTCATGGGAACTGCTAAGCAAGTCATTCTGGTTTTTTACATGCATAAAAGAAATTTTTTAAATTGCTTTTATTTCTTTACAGTGAGCAAACTGTTTGCTTACAGTAAAAACT